AAAATGTTCAGCCTCACTAATCATCAGAAAAATACAAATCAAAACCACACTGAGATACCACCTAACCCAAGTAAAGATGGGCATCATAAATAAATAAAAAGAAAGAAACAGATGCTGGTGAGGATGTGGAGAAAAAGGGACACTCTACACTGTTGGTGGGAGTGCAAACTAGTATGGGAAATAGTGTGGTGATACCTAAAAGAACTAGAAATGGACCTTCCATAAGATCCAGCAATCTCCTTCCTGGGACTATACCTGGAGGAACACAAATCATTCTACAAAAAAGACACCTGCATACGCATGTTTACTGCCACACTATTCACAATAGCAAAAACATGGATCCAGTTCTTATATTCATTGACAGTAGACTGGAAAAGAAAATGTGGTACACATGCATGATGGAATATTATGCAGCCATAAAAAAGGACAAAATCATGGACTTTTCAGCAAAATTGAATGAAATTGGAGACAATCATTCTTAGTGATCTATTACAGATACAAAGAACCAAATACCTCAAGTACTCCATCATTAATGGGACTTGAGCATTAATTACAAAAGCACTAGGGAGGGATCAGCAGTCATGGGATACCACTGGGGGTTGGGGGGTGAACCTAACAACAAAAAGGGTACTTGGTCCTAAACCTGGGGAAGTGAGGGCCAGTTGGAAGCCCAAACATCACCTGCACATACATTACTTGTGTACCTAATCCCGACTTGTTCTTATTTTATACTTACACTTATTATTTATTTAAATGTAAGTATAAAATAAAAGCATACAATTTGCTGAATGTCCACAAGGTGAACATGCCTATATCACTAGTTATACCAAGAAATTAAACTACCAGCTCCCCACAAGGTCCCCTTTTGTTACCTCTTCCTTAATATTCTTTTGTTTGTAATGTTACCACATCTTAACTTCTGTCCCTATGGGTGTTTTGTTGTTATTGTTGCTGTTGTTGTTGTTGTTTGAGTCAGAGTCTCACTCTGTTGCCCAGGCTGGAGTGTGGTGACACGCTCATAGCCACTGCAGCCTCGATCTCCTGGGCTCAGGCAATCCTTCCACCTCAGCCTTCCAAGTAGCTGGAACTACCACACCCAGCTAGGTTTTGTGATTTATTGTATAGAGACAAGGTCTTGCCATGTTGCCCAGGCTGGTCTCAAATCCCTAGGCTCAGGCATTACTCTTGCCTCAACCTCCCCAAATGCTGGGATTACAGGCTTGAGCCACTGCACCAGCCTTAGTTCAGTCTTTTTTAAATTAAAAATTTAAAGTGGGATAGTTTCTTCAAATGAAATGTCACATGCATTCACAATATGTAGAACAAATAATATTGTCACTTTTCTAGTTGAATCAGAATTAGAATTCTGGAACTTGTGGTGCCTACTCACTGCATATGCCCTTTAAAAAAATCTAGTCATTCTTCTTCCTATTCCATCCTGGTGAACTCTGAGACATTACTTCAATGTCCTGAGGCTCTGTGGAAGGCTCAACTTGAAAGTCATTGGCTCATTGTAAGCCTTTCCTTTGATCAAGGGTTGGCACACTTTTCTGGAAAGGACCAGAGAGTAAATATTTTAAACTTTACCTTCCACACAGCCTCTATTGCACTACTCATCTCAAGTGCTGTTGTAACATAAAAGCAGCTGTAGACAGTGTATTGAGTTTGTTCCAATGAAACTTTATTTACAACAACAGGCTATGGGCTGAGTTTGGCCTATGGATTATAGTTAGACAACCTGCAGAAGGAAATTATAAATGAAGTAACTTAGGATCACAGAATGTTATTACTAAAAGGAATTTCAATAATTGTCTTCTGGGAAATGAAACCAAGGCCCTAGGTAATTAACATTTATTTTTTTTATTTTTATTTTTTGACTTGAAGTCTACTCTATCGCCTAGGCTGGAGTGAAGTGGCACACTCCCGGCCACCGCAACCTTGACCTGCTAGGCTCAGGTGATCCTTCCGCCTCTACCTTCCAAGTAGCTGGAACTACAGGTGCGTGCCACTGTGCCCAGTTAATTTTTTTAATTTATTGTAGAGGTGAGATCTCACCAAGTTGCCCAGGCTGGTCTTGGACTCATGGACTTAGGCGATTCTCTCACCTTGGCCTCCCAAAGCACTGGGATTATAGGCGTGAACCACCGCATCTGGCCTGTAATTAACATTTATTTACACAGTAATTTGTGGAACATGTAATTTAGCAAAGGGTTATAGATAAGACATCAGAATTATAGTTAATATGGTCTTTTGTTCCCATTCCAGTCTGCTTGCATTGTTAAAAAAAATCTCTCTCTTACCTCTTTTCAGGAATCTTGAAGAATCATTCTCTTCCTAGGTATTATAAATTCCCTAACCTCATGTCTAACATAATGCCTGCCAGTCTTTGCTTCTCATGCCTTAACTGTGGTGCTTCTAAATTTGCTTCATGCAAATTGCCGAAGAGTAACTTCTTGCACTGACTTTAAATGGTCTAGGTTCTGAGAATGTTTCTTTTCATTATTCTCTTAAAATATATCTTTGCTACGTCAGATTTGAGGTAGTTTCTGTCAAAAGATGACATATGTAAGTGAATTCAGATCTTCACTATGGTTTTTACCTCCCCATGGTTTAGGATCTGAAGCAGGGGTGTCCAACATTTTGGCTTCCCTGAACCACCCTTAGTAATTTTTTGGCTTTCCTGCTGCACCAAGTAAAAAGGAATTGTTTTGGGCTGCACATAAATTGTATAATGTGGTTAGAATATATGCATAATAAGACTTCTTATTGTAAAGTTTATAAAAATGAAAACAATATAAAACCAGTGGGAAATTTGACCTTGTTATTGTAAAATTTATCTGTTAATGTCTGGTTTGATTGAAGTGGTCGCAATTCTTAGTGAGTTCTCAAGGTGCTCATCAGAAATGTTTGTTGGAATTTTGCTCTTCGTGTGTTTCATAATTGAAAACAGTTGTTCACAAATGAATGTGCTGCCAAAAAGTGATGTCATGGATAAAGCGTGATTGTGAACTTCAAAAATGGAACTATGCACGGGTCATGGAAAAAATAAATGCTAAAAAATACAAGTTGTTAAAAGATTTTGTGGAGCCACATTACCAGCTGCTCTGGGCTGCATGTGGCCCATTGGCCATGGGTTGAACATGCCTATCTTCTGCCTCAGGGTGAATTATTACAGTGACAAACCACTTTGCAGAGGCTGGGCCGGATCTTTTCTTTCTCTGTATGTCAGAGTTGTATCAGTCGGAATGGGCAGTTATACTGCTGAAACAGGCAAAGCCACAATCTCTGTGGTTTAAAACAATATCTCACTATAATGCTTTAGTGAGTTGGCTGCTCTGCTCTTCTTCATTGCCCTTCTTATCTGCTTCTGAAGTGGACAGGGCAGTTTCTGTTGAGGTTGGATGCATTCAGGGTGGTATGACTGTAGACACTGGTGTGCCACTGTTAAGGAATTGCCAATTGCAATTGAAAAAGGATAAAGCAAGAACTAGCTCTTAAAGCTTCCACTTGAAGTGATAGGCTAACCTTTCAATAGCCAAGCAAGTCAAAGGGCTGAACCTAACTTGCATGTGGCAGGAATTTCCCTAGGGAGGGAAACCAGACAATGGTGAACTATGGTCAAAATCCAGCTGAACCAGGAGCTCTAGTCTCCACTACCATTTCACCCTAAAGGACTAAGAGCTCTTTTGTAAATTAACTCCTAGTATCCTGCCCTGATGTACCAGATACCAGAAGTGATTATAAATATATTTTCCACTTTACAAATAAAGATGTGGATCTATTTCTTAACAAAATTGGAGAAGACATCTATATAGGTGGAATATAAACGTATGTAATTTAACATTTCTGAATGTATTTAACAAGATTAGTATGTTCATGACTCTTTGCAGATTTTTTTCCTGTTTTTTTCATTTACCCCACCATTCCTGAAATGTTTTCCCGTGGGCCTTTTTTCCATACTTTCTTTTCTTTTAACAAACATACTGAGGTGTTTGTTAAAATTCAGATTTCTAGGTTTTACCTCAAAATAACTGTGACTGACTCTGGAAATGATCATATTCCTTGAACCTATTAATTTTTAGTAAATCTGTGACCAACCTTTGGGGTTGGGATGCCTTGTTCTCTCTCTCTCTCTCTTTGGTATATATTTATTAGTATGAGGTTGAGATTTAATCTGTCTGGCTTTGCTAATAATGGGCATATGGATACATTTGTCTTTAGCGCCATAGACTTAACTTGGGCAAAAACCACAGCTGCCAGAGATAAACAGCACTGTTTTAGCAATTTATAGGATTTTTTGACGTAGAAAGAAGTTGTAGAACACAGAGAAAAACTTGAAATTGGACTCTCACCATTAGTATGGTGGCTGTCCGGTATTATGTGCGTGACATATTTAAGACTATAACTGAGAAGCCAAGGGTAGGTCTGCAGGCATAACCTGCAATCAACCTGAGTAGTCACACAATTGATCTATCTCATATTTATAATTGATTCCTTTTGTCATTCCTGAATTATATTTACACCATTGTCACATCTGATGCATATTAATTTCAATGGATGTAAACCAGGCGAAAAAAATAAGGATTCACAAAGTTGCTCTTCATATTCAATCATTTCCTCCTAGCATGCAGTAATATACAAGCATTGCCTCTTTGATTCTCTGCCTAGGTCAGAATTTGATTAGGATTTTCCAAAAAAGGACCGTGTGGTGGTTGCGGTGGTGGCGGTGGTGGTGATGATGCACAGAAATCTGCTAATTTCTGGGTTTATGTGAGCATTTATACTCACTTTGCTAGTCACACTGGATGGCCCAACATCATTCCCATCAATTTTTAAAAACCAATGAGCTTTATATTATATTATCATACATTATTTCAAGTAGAATGCTTGAATAATAAGTGTTTTCACATTGTTATGGTAACATTCTACAACAGCATTACCTAGTATTTGACTACCAATTCCGTTCTTGAAAACTTGTCTGGAATTAAACATCAACTACGTTCAAAAGTAATTATTTTTTATTTCAACTCTATAAAGTATACAACAGGCACTCGGCAATTACAGCTGCAGGAAAAATACAGAGCAAATCAAAGCAGGTTAAGTTTATGAAAAAGTTTTTAATCTACATCAAAAGAGTGCAAGTGGTCAATGACCATTTGATGACAGTTTGTTGCATTCAGACTAACAAAGGACTCTTTCATGTAGAACAAATTGTAAGAGGACAATCAAATAACCATAGCTGTAAGAATACAAAAGAACTGACCAGTTGTAAAAACATCATACTTTGAAACAAATTTGATAGATGATGCTTAAAGAAATGTCCCTTTACTCAGAAAGCCCCAACCTCTGAGTCATTGTCAAGGTCCCAGAGCTCTGTCTGTTGATGTAGGGGCAGATAAAGAGGAGGGCTAACAACACACTTTCAATATTTTGCTTTCTAGGTCTGTTGAAAATTTGCCTCATAAGTGATTTGCATATACAAGAACTCGGAGAAAGCATCCTGTTTTGTTGAGTGGTGCACCAAGGTACTTTTTCATCATTGGTTTCTTAACGAGGTGTGGTTAGCAGTCATTTCCAATTTTTCTTTTGGGTTGGACCATTGTTAATGAAGTCTATAAAATGAGACACATTAGAACTTGACTGCACTAATTTATTTTTACAGAATCTGCACAGCTTAGCAAAACAGGAATACCTGTATACAGACTGATAGTATGTCATATATTAATTTGACCTGCACGTACATTTATACATTTCACAGAAATGACGCTGTATCTCATTAACAGATACACAGCTCTGGTACATTTAACAGAAATAAGAGAACAACTTCATCATTTCTGTAATTCATCAATATTATATAATAAAGGCTTATAAATTGTTAGCAGAAAGAACTGTAAAACGCAGCAAGCTAAGAAAGGACAACATTTTGAGGTGTGTTTGTCTTTGTCATGCAGCATAACACCAAATTTGTTTTTTTTAATAGGATGCCATGAATTTAAGGCACTTGCAACAATGCCAGATAGCCAGGTCATGTTCTAAACTATGGGACAGATGAATAACAGTACAGTTGACATAATTTTCAATAATACTGACAATTATGACATTAATTCAAGTCTACTTGGACCTAAAAACATTATTCAATACAAATAAAATGAAATAATAATGCTGTGAAACACTAAAAAAAGTTATATGTACCACAAAATATCACACAAAAATATCTATTTACATAAATATTTGTCTGTGGTCCTATAGTGAAAGAAAACGCTGTTATGGATAATGCACAGATCACCTCTATTGTATGAAATCAGTTCTCATATCCTTGTTTTCAGTATGGTAGCTGACTTCATTAAATTTAAGTTTACCATCAGTTCAGTCATTTAGAAATGAAACAAGAAAAATTCAATAGTTGAGTTTTATACATGTGTAATTCACATGCATATTCCACAACTTTAAGTAAAAATTATGTCTTATAAAGAATATAATTAAAATAAATTTGTTTTAAATGCTATGTGGATTGGACTCATATCTTAATAACAAAGAAGATATAAACATAAAATCATTTATAACAATTTTCCAAAAATCATTTTTTCTAATGTATTCAATCTATCTCAAATATTTTAATGTTCCTTCCATTGGCAGTTTTCAGTTTTTCTGTTAGTCAAGACACACAGAAAGCCCTTTTTCTCATACTTAAAGTATTAACAAGAAAGTCAGTTAACAAATCAAGCAAGTTGGCACTGTTCTAACTTATCCAAATGTTCTTTAGTGTAAGAAAAATAGAAGGGGTATGAAAAATTCAGAAGTAAAGTGAGATGCGCTTTATGGAACTGACCATGAATTTTAGCCCTAGAGTCTTCATTAAGACAAGATTTAATTCCTTAAAATTCAATGTTGAAAATTAGATGAATGTTTTCTGTTAGCAAATCTTGGAAGATGTAGTTCACCTTTATTTTTGGTGATTGCTTTAGACATCCTAATGAAATGCCATGGTTGAAATGAACAAAGATGGAAGCACAAGTGAAAGAAATAATCTACAGTTACATTGTGCTGAATGCTACTTCATCCTTCTCCATAGAACTTATTCATATAGGTTGTCTTAGACTTGAACCCTGATTCCAAAATCCACTGGGAATCTCTGGGAGTCTGGGACTTTGGGGATATTTGAAAAGTTACAGAATTTGATTCTATTTCTTAATGACAAGATAAATTTAATATTCCAGCAAGCCTTTTGCATGCTTAAACCACATTATCTATCAACAAAAATTGCTAACCACTGACTTTAATATTCGCATTGTATATTTTTTGAAAATCCAATTCAAAAAATATAAAACCTCTGAAATAGCATTCATAGCTGGATTATTGCTGAATATGTTTAATTTTACATTCTAAATTCTGTAGAAGAAAGTGGGTATCTTGGGGGAACAGATTGATTTTGAGAAACTATTTGTAAGGGAGGGAAAACTGTAACACAGATTAATAGCATTTTAGGATCAAAGTTTTAATTAAACTTTTATTCATTTAATACTTTTATTCTCCAATTTTTTTAGAATATTATATTTTTATAAGATATCATAGTAGTTTTGAGTATGAACAATTCAAACAAAATTCATAATATATGCCTTTTTGGCTAGAGTACAGTTTTCTAATTAGACATATTGTTTTCTGCAGAAATGTCTACATTTGATTGATTAAAAAAAACTCGACTGTAAGAAAGAAAACTTCAATTGAATATACCAAATTCACACACATTTCCAAATCAGGATGACAGCTTGAAAGGTTATACAGTTTTCTGCATAGGTATAATGCTGTTTTGTCCAGAAAAAGCTTCCGAATGGCTGTGTTACTTACGACAGCTAACAATAGTCAACCGGCCTGACAACGAAAGACTCAGTATAATTTGCTGATTCTTTTCTCCATGTGATTAAAGCAAATAAGTTTGATGTTTTCAAATTTAGTATTTTCTAAATAGTATAACATTTCAGGATTGTAGTATTTCTATACTATTTAGCTAACATTTATTTAGGAAATCAGGCTCCTATTTTCCTGTCTACTGCCTTTCTTCTCTAACAAGGGCATGGAATCACATCAGCTCATTCATGAAAAGGTAACACCTGGCCAGATTCTTGTCTTGTTACCTGACATCAAATAAATAAGGTTTCTGGTCAGGTAGCTATGTAAATCTTAATAACTTTGACTTTGTACTTTCTTTTTTTCTTTTTGTTATTATTACTACTATTATTTGGCTCAGGCCTAAGACAAGAAGCTAGTTCAAATCGATTTTTAATCACCTTTGTCTCTCAATCCCAGACTATGTTGTAGAAGTAAAACCGGGCAGGAGTTTGGTTTAATAAATTTAGTAAAAATGTTTGCATCTCTGGCTACACATATAATGATTAGAATTTATGTTGTCTGTTCAGACACTGACATTTACAGATGAAAGATATACATAGCACCTATATAGTTCTTATTTATTTTTTGGATGGGTTTTAATCCCTCCCCACCCCACCCCATCCCAAGGGTTTGTTTTTATAAAAGGGAATAATTTAAGCCTCAGTTTGAGGGCATGATCAGTAATAAATAAAACCAATTGGCTGCTAGTCATTAACTTCCAGGACCATCTTTAAGCACAATATTTTTTTAAAAATATGAAATGATTTTGTGAATTGCTTTTTTTCCACTCTGTCATGCCAATTTATCAAAAAGAAACAAACAAATATCATGCAGTATTTTTCAATCCTTTGTGAAAACGCATATATACCTGCTATGAGAGGTCTCAGCAGAATCTATAGCAGTTGTGCTTTGATCATATCAATTTTTTAAATCCATCAGAAAGAAAAGGTAACATTCAGTCTTGTCATCAGCACTGCTGGGAAATAAAATCATGAAACTTCTAGCACTGGTTTGACATGAACTCTATGACCAACAAATGTGTGGTCCTCTTTTATACGGTATATACACCGGCCTGCAGTAATAGACCCCAAAACTTTCACTTGAAGAAAGGGAATAGCCCAGTTTCTGTACCTTCATAATCTATCGTACCCAATATATTATTCTTTCATCTTCTTGAAGCAAGGTACAGACTCTTTTACTAGACTGAAGTGTTTCCTACAGTCTTTCAAATTAGAGTCAGAGCAAAGCAAGGTCATTGCAACAATAGAAAACATCTCTTTACTGGTGAAAGGCTTTGCTTCAGGACCACCATGTCAACTGCTATTTTAGGTTCAAACAGAAAACATGTAAAGAGCACTATTGTCATCTAAGCAATAAGTCCTAATGCCACTGTAGTTACTGGAGCAGCATCGATCAAAGGCATCATGGTGACCCCGAGCACTAATCTTCTCTCTTTCCCTCAGGTTTGCTGGCAGCTGTGTCTCAGAAAAAGCTGTCTTCAGCAAGGCAGAAGCAGGTAAGAGAAATACATTAGAAGTCTATGTCCCATCCTGAGTTGTCATCAGGTGGTGGCTCATCATTGTCCTCAGGGAAACTGTCGAAATTGCTTGTGTCTGTGGGTGAAGCAACCTGTAAACAAAAGAGAATGAACAAAGGTTTATGATTTTTTCTAGTGGAATTCCAAACTATAATTTTTTTTTTTTTTTTGAGTATGGGGGTCTCACTTTGTCACCCAGGTTGGAGTGTAATGGCACAATCACGGCTCACTACAACCTTGACCTGCAGGATTCAGGTGATCTTGCCACTTCAGGTTCCCCAGCCACCTCATCTAGCTTTTTTTTTCAATTCTTTTGTAGAGACAAGGTCTCGCTACGTTGCATAGGCTGGTCTTGAACTGCTGGGCTCAAGCAATTTTCCCCTTCGGCTTCCCAATGTGCAGGGATTACAGGCGTGAGTCACTGCACTCAGCCCAAGCTAGAATTTTTTATTCATTCTTTATTCATTCTCTATTCAATGACTATTTACCTAAGTATTATGTAGCAGGTATTGTGCTTTGTATTGAAAATCACAGCGGTGAGTAAATATAGACACAGTTAACTAGCCCCATGGGGTTTATAACCTAGTAAGTAATAAACTGCATTGTTACAACCAATAATCACAAAAGTCTATATATAATTCTCAAGTCTATATTAATAACAAGTAATCATAAAAATCTATATGTGTAATAAACTTTGGTCAATGCTATAAAAAACAAGATGCTATGAGAGTATGAGAATGGTCATACTCTTTGAAAAAGTATTATTTTAAGCCTAAGAATGAATAAGTTTGATAAAGAAGGTTTAGCACATAAAAAGGTCCTGAGGTAAGAGGGAGTTCCATGCTTTAAAATAACCAAAAGAGGCCAACATGGCAGCCATATAAGAAGGGAGAGGACAGCCGGCATGGTGGCTCAAGCCTATAATCCCAGTACTTTGGGAGACTGAGGTGAGGGGATTGCCGGAGCCCATAGGCTCAAGAACAACCTGGGCAACTTGGCAAGATCTAATCTCTACAATAAATCAAAAAATTAGCCGAGCATGGTAGTACGTGCCTGTAGTTTCAGATACTTGGAAGGGTGAGGTGGAAGGATTGCCTGAGCCCTGCAGGTTGAGACTCTGGTGACCGTGAATATGCCACTGCACTCTAGCTTGGGCAATGGAGTGAGATTCCACTCTAAAAAAAAAAAGGGGGTGGGGGGAGAGTATTCATCTGTACAATAAATTTTAAAAAAACTAGCTGCAGATGTAGTTCCAGCTATTTGGAAGTCTGAGGCAGAAGGATCACCTGAGCCCAGCAGGTCGAGGTTGCAGTGGCCATGAGTGTGCCACTGCACTCCAGCCTGAGCAACAGAGTGAGACTCCAAGAAAGAAAAAAAAAGAAAGGGAGGGGAGTGGAATGAATAAGGCCAGAGAAACAGGCAGGATCCAGGTTTTGTAGCATCTTGCAGGGCAGCTTAGAGATTGTGTGTTTATTCTAAGTATAATTAAAAGCCAATTCTAAACTCGAGCATAACTCTTGTAAATTTACTGGGCAAAGTTCAATTTGCAGAGCATCAGTAAAAGCTCATTTAATATTAACATTGATGAAACAAAACTGATACCACATAAATTTACATTAGAATATTTGAGTTCGATATTTATTCCTCCCAGCTTGTTACTCTACTCTTATTCTAAAAACACAACTTCATGACTACAATGAACATCTGTAATGTGAGACATAGTAATGATATTTTTGTTTTGCTTATGAATACACAAATATTAGTACAGAAAAACATCTTAGAAGTAGGAAAAAATTGACCAAGTGCTGGCATAGTGCCTTTAATTCTAGCTATTCAGGAAGCTCGTGCAGGAGAATTGCTTGAGCTCAGGAGTTTGAGACCAGCCTGGACAACATAGCAAGACCCCATCTGAAAAAAAAAATAATAAAAGTAGGAAAATACTTTTGTATAAAGAATAATCTTGGATCAGTCCTAGAGAAAGTATATAAATGAAAATGCTAGTACCACAAGTTAGTTTTCTTCCCCTTAATCAAAATGTAGTATCTTTTATTAAATAGATGGGAAACTGAGTAAAAATATAAATGTACTCATTTGAAATCAATTTCAGCTTAATATAAGCAATGCATTTAGAGAGTATTTAACAACAACAACAAGAAGCCTGATGTACTTCTAAAAAGAAGAGTTTAAAAAAGTGATTTAAAAAAATTTAGAACCTAATGAGAGTATAAAATGACACATTATGCCTGGGAGAACTTAAAAATTATATGGAGGGAGAACAGGAGGATTCCATGGGGGCAAAAATGAAATAACATTGGCCAAAAAGTAATGGTTGCTGAAACTAATTGTTGGAGATTCACTATGCACTTTGTCTATATTTGTATATGCTTAACATGTATCATACTAAAAGGTAACTTATGTTCACAAATAAAACAAACTAATTAAAATGGATAGCTAGAAGAGATAAGGGCAAAACATATACACAGATTTATCTGTTTTTTCAGGTTGGCTTTCGGAGTGTGTCGTTGTTTCATTGTTTTAATGTGATTCTCCTATAGCTTATTTAATCTGATCATAGGATTGAACTTTAAAAATAACAGATCATTGCTGATTAACATAAACATCATCAAGCATCTCACACAATTATAAACTGGGAAATCTACTTACGCTTGGTATTATAGGAGGTGTCAGAGTGCCTTTTCTTAAGCCTTCCCAATTAAATCCTTCAAACCATCTAAGAAAGAAAAAACGTAGACAGTTAAAGGCATTTTACCTCCACTAAAACAATGTATGTAGCTGATGGAAAGCAGTTAGGCAAACGTTTTCATGTGACAAAAATGTTTTCTGTTTAACTGTAGATTTTTTTCAACTAGCTTATTTTATGAAATGCATATTTTAAAAAATATAATTGTGAAATTTTAAACCAATGAACATGCAATTCATTCATAGTGTCTCTATGACCTTGTTGCTACACTATCATTATAATTTAACAAATGTCATAATTGGTTGGCTCTGCGCATTACAGGATATTTTATTTTAAGGAGATAGAATCAGGGCATGCAAAGTCACAACAGAAAATTAATTTTCCATCTTTGCCACTGATTCAGTGAGCAGCCTCAACTAATTAACCTTTTCACATCATTGTATTGGTCTCTGCATGTCCCATTTTCTTCTTTTTATTTTTTCTTTTTTAATAGAATGGAGGTAGTTCATGTCCAGGCTTTCTGTGAAAATGAGGACTAAATAACACTGAGATTAGTTTGTTTGTTTTGTTCTATTTTGTCTTTGAAAGGTTTCACCATTAGAAAATGCTTACAACAAATTCTTAGCAGGCCTTAGAGATATTCATCGGTATTTTAGTAAATTTGTTTCTTTGACAGGGATGTGAATTTCTTGTCGGTGTTACACAGACTAATAGAGAAAATCCAGTTTGGGTTTAGTTTATCTTTAGAACATCCATTCAACATAGGTACAGTCTGACACTTAAGATATTGCTATTGTTTAAAAAATACTGTACTCTGTGCTTATTTTTTCTCCTATTGTGTCATCTAATTAGGAAATGGCTGGAAAAATATATTCTGCCTTTAGTCTAGAAAATGAGGCATGATACAGTGGAAGACTTTTGTTTTTAATATTCTGGTAGAGAATAGAATCCCAAAATTAAATATACACATTTTCTCTTTGTGCCAGAGAGAAAAAAGTTGCCAAGCTGAGAGAAGCTGAATTCAGTGCATTTGTTATTTGGGATGTCACAGGGTTATTGGATATATCAAAATGAAGTTCCAGCACTAGAAAGGTCTTTAAAAGTCCAATTAGTTTACATTCTTTCTTTGGATGTTCCCATAGGCTAACTGCATCAGTTATACACCAATAACATAAAGAATCGCACTCTGGGAAAATGTTTGCCAGGTTTCTGAACTGAAATCCAAAGTTACAAGGAAAGAATACTCACTTGTGCTTTTGAATGTCTTTCACTCCATTTTTCAAATTCCCTAATCTTTCTGACGGATTGTCCCTAGAAAAAAAGTAATAATTTTATTAAATAATGTAATTTTTTCACATTATGATCCTTTCAAAAATAATATGGTTGAAATACTTACCTGCATAGTTTTTTAATTAAGTTAGCAGCATTTTTGGCAATCTTCTTTGGAAATTCTATCATGTCAATCCCCCTTAATATGATGTTATAGGTTTTCATAGGATCTGGGCCTGAGAAAGGTGGGCTGCAAGAATGAGAGGCATGTCAAGAGATATTGCTTTCATTTTCTAAAGTAAACACTTAAATTTGCTGTAAGCTCCACAATTACAACGAGTCTTATTTGGAGGTTTTGTTAGTAGTGATAATGGAATGAAAACTGATTAATAGCAAAACACAGATTTACTTTCCAAGTAAATCACTTAGTTAAACCATAAGTGGGTCAAGTTTATCTGGCTGCTCTTCTCAATTCTTTTTAGAGTTGGTGCATAACTCTCTTGTTGCCCATGGTCAATCAAGATGCCTCTTCCATTCTCTGTCCTTGCTCTTTTACTGGCTCACTGATTACACTTGGGAAGAAGTCCATATCATTAGGATGGGCCACAAGAACATCAATACAACAGCACCTCATCCCATCTCCACCCCCTCTCAGTGGAATCCAGACTCAACAGCATTTTCTCTGTGTCACTGAAATACTAAGCTTTTCCCCACCTCAGAGTGTTATTTTGCCTGGAATGTTCTTCCCAAATTTATCTGGGCTAATGCCTCAGTTTACCAAGTCTCTGTTTAAGTGCTCTATTGCTTCTTCAAAAGGCCTCTTCTGATCAACTTAATCTAACCAATCACATAACCTATATCAATATAACCTAATACTCTAATCTAATGCTTAAATTTAAACTTTAATCTAAATGAGAGTCCCCTGTTATACCATCCATATACCACTTATTGTACTTTGCAATTACCTCTTCATTTGTGTGATTATGTGTTTTATGTCTGTCTTCCCTTCCAGACTACATTTTGTTTTCTGCTGGTATTTCCAAAGGTGAGAAGAGTGCTTAGCATGTAGTGAGGGGCCAATAAATATTTGTAGAACTAATGCTTCTATACAACAGTGCTCCTTCTATCCTTTTCTCCCTACTCATGGGCCTTCAGTAGATAATTTGATACGAGGCATTCTCTTTAATACCCAAGTCCTCATGAACAAGATCTGTTTATTTATTTATATATTTATTTATCTTTTTTAGCCTATCCATCCTTCAAGTGTGGCTGTGTGACAACCTCTGGTAGTACAAAGATGACTAAAGTCAGATCCTTCCTTCAAATTTCTCACCATTCAAAAGGGAGATTATGATATACCTTGACAAATGATAAGTAATTTCTTTGAAGATTAATTATTCTCTTAATACAGAGTTCATCTGCCTTTGGAGGAAAATCTTCTGGATTATTATGATATTTTTGCCCCTCATGTTTATTAATAGCAGTTCAAACTATTTCCATTTATCAAACTTACTAAAAATAATGAGTTACTTAAAGCAGAGGAGTAGCAAATTTATTTGTGCCGAGGGCTGTGATGGTATCTTCCTTGATTTTCTGTGACAAGTGCTTTCTATTCACTTTAATATATCATTAGTTAGTAATTGCCTGTCAATTTTAAAACACTTTTAAAAAATGTATAAACATGTAATTCTATTTAGCATTCTCTTGGAATTTAAAAACATTCTCTTCATGTGATGCTGTGATTGAATATTCACTTTGCTCTCTTAAGTTCACTTGCCAATTTTACTTTTTACCTTAAAAAATAAAGAAGAGCCATATTATGGGTTTTTCGTTAACAATTTAATGTCTTCTGATTTATAATTTTGCTTTTACATTTATTTGTTTATCTCAGACAACCAAAATCATTTATTACAGAAGGCTCTTATGATTTTTATAAGTGATGCATGTTCAGTCTGATATCCATGCAATATATAAAACATAATTACTTAGAAGAAAGTGAAAATCATCCAACACCCCAAAATATTAATAATAGTCAATATTTGATGAACATAACGTCATACATTTATCTATGTAGATGGAGACACATATATTACCCACACTTTTTAAATTAAAAAAAAGTATTCCATTTAATTTTACTTTATTTAAGCTGAGGAATAAAATGAGAAGAAATGCTAAATGTCAAAGATGTGCTTTTTCACCAATCTTAACTTATAAATTAAGAATTTTAAAAACTTTGAATTTAGAGCTTTCTTTTTTTATAATGACACACTTAAATTATAAAAATATTTAAGATTACTGATTATGAATGCTGAGAAGCATAACTATAGTTATTCCTACCTCTTCCCTCCCACTTTGACTTTTCTTGATTTTGGCATTATTTTAAGACTGCCTACATACTATTCAATTACTCAAATTTAAGTTATTTGATCTAAATTCTAATTGATTCAATTCACAGTTCATCATCAATCCTTTTACTAGTTTCTCTATTCCTGCGTACTTTATTTTGATTCATCTTTTTGTTCACTTGGTTGTATATGTAGTGTTTTTAAGAAAGGCCTAGAGTGTATACTTTATATGTTGCATTTGTATTTTAAGAATAACTTAACTCTGTATAAATCACATCGTTTATGCTTCCTTCCTTAGAACACTTTTAAGTTATTTTGGCCTTAAAAGTGTTGTAGAAAAGGTCGAGGTCAAATGGAACTCTAATCCACCTCACTTCTAGCACCACACACAGCATGCTTTTGTGGCTTTGATGCCAATATGATTATTTCTTATTACTGAATTTAGGAAATCACACCTGGACACACTGAAGTGTCAATATTCTGACGCAGTTTCCCCAAGGTCACTGTTGACCAGAAGAATACACTGAGTCAAGTCTTTAATGCCATGACTTTTCCATTATGTCAATACATTTTTCTATCTTGTAATATTCTATTCATGTTTATAATTGATTCTTCTATTTCCTTTAACTTCTATATCCTCTTTCTATATTTTTTCATGATTTCCAAGCCTATGTGCTATCTTTATGGCTGCATTCTTTATTGTTACTATTCTATTTTTCTTGCTTATTATATGCCTTTCAATTCTGTAGTGTTCCTGAGTTCTGCTAGTTTATTTTTCTTGTTATTTGTGAATAGTTGTAAGTGTCTTTGAGATTACCTTTTTTAGGGTGATCAGATTAATTATAGATAACAATTTGTTTGAATGCTTCCTCCTATTTTTTTTTTATTCATTTTTCTTGTGTGGTTTTTAGCTGCCGCTTACTTGTGCACCTTTCAGTTGAAATAAACGGAAAATACCAACTCAAACAGATTAAAATAAGGACATGGATATCATAAAAATGGCAGTCCAGTAGTAGGACGAATTCTAGATCTGGTAGAATCAGTAGCTCAGTGACCCAAGGTCTTTCCAGCTTTTCTTCTGGCATACTTTATGTTAGCTTCAACCTAACTAAGGCTGTTTCCTCTAATAGTTATAGAAAGTCTACCAGTGGAAATAAGGACTTATCTTCATTCAATGATTATTTATTGAGTACTACTGTAGGTACAGGGAATTTTCCTTTTACATTGCATTTTGAAATTTTCTTTTAGGTTGTATTCAAATTAGATCAATATCAATCACCAGAGGAATCATGTAACTGGAATAGATGAATTGAATTTAACTCTAAAACTAGAGATGATTTTTTTTTCTCCTGAGTTTTGGCTGGAGGCATGGATCCTCGAATAAAATCGGTAAGTCAAAAAGTAGTTGGTGTGTGTGGAAGGGAGCTATGGTTGTGAGGGTTAGGGACGCAGTTCTTTGACACCCTTTCTGATTATTACTCATCCATATTGGGCCAGCTACCCTAAAGAATAGAACAGGGAAGGTTGGAGGAAAGGGAATAATGAGAAATTCACCAGCTTTTACTAGAATTTGTGACTTTATAAAATCTCTCACCAGATCATTTCTTTCCTTTGTCCTCAATTTTTGGCATTTGGATGGTTATGTGCCTCATAGCAATGTCTTACTATGTTTTCTTTACTTTTGCAATCCCTGCAACTCTCCCTTTTTTTGCTGTCTTTCATTTTACTGGCCAACATTATGAGTTTTAAAATGCAGAGTTGGTATGAGATCCCCTCCTCCTCAGTTCCTCTGTCGTTCTGTTGTGTGTCTCCACATGAACATTCCTTGCTTGTGCAAAGTCCATTTAGTCCTCTAAATGCTATTACTCCAACCAAAAATCATTAGATAGAGCATTCAGGACCAAATTACTTTGGGTCATGCTTGTGGCCCAAGAAGGTTTGTCAGCATTATTCCTAGTCATGTACTATACTTCATAGCTGGTGTGGCTGGGAGAAGTTTCATTGTAACTAAAAATTATTCTATATGTTTTATTCTTGCCTTCCTTTATCCCCATGCCTCACCACCACCATCACCTCTTTGGGCTGAAAGAGCAAAAGATATTTTTACACTGCCATCTTCGACTGGAATGCATTCTGTCTTTTTACTTCTTGAAATGGGTACTAAGTTCATGTATTTTTAATCATAATATATATATTTAATAATATATGCATTTATGGTAGTAAATTAAGCCTAGCTTTAGTATACCACACAAATTGTGATTTATAGTGCTTTATTTTCATTACTGTTCTGCTATTTCATAACTTCTATTCCCTGTGGTTGTTTGGCAAAGTGCTTTTAAAAAATTTTCAAGTACTTAAACTTTTTCTTTTAAATCTTTGCTATTAATTCCTAGTTTTATTAAGTTGCTGTCAGATATTGTGAACTATGAAATCTCTGCTGTTATTAGTAATTTGTTATAGTTTAGTATATGACCATTTTTAAGACTAAGGTTTTAATCATTTTTTTCTTATGAATAAACATTGATTGTAGGAAAACTTTAAACACTTCAGAAGAAATAGAAATTGTTATGGTTGATATATTAGTCTAGTTATTAATAGTTAATATTTTACTTCTGTAATAGTTAATATTTTGCTTTTTTTCACACATTATATGATTGTTTTTGTATAATTCTAAACACAATGGAAAAACTATCTGTCTACATCTATCCATTCACATGTATATGTTAAATTTAGCATTCTCTTTCATCAAAATCTTTTACTTATTTACATGTCGTTTAATTTATCACAAATTTAAAATAATTTGCCTCTATACACAAGGAGAATATTGAAAAAATTGGGTTAGTTCAAATATAACTTATCTGAAGTCAACATAAATGTTTCAAGAGTAATAATGTAAAATGTTCACCAATAAAAATAAAAGCACAACTATTTCTGGCAACGGTAGTAGTAGTTATAGCAGCTAACGTTCATGGAGTGCTTACTATGGCCTAGACACTCTTCTAAGTGTTTCATCTATTCACGGAATCCTCACAAGACACCCTGAGTCTATAAGTCCCAAGTCATGCTCTTGCTTTCACCGTAATGACTATGTCGCCTAATCCTTTCACATCCTGCCTCACATTTACCTCTTTGTTCCTCTCCCCTGACCCTATTCTAGGCTTTTATTGTCCTAGACCTGAATTATTAGAATTATCTTCAAACTAGCCTTCCCATCCACCTTCTAATTTGCCTGCATATTACTGCCAAGTTTTTTTTTCTTAAACACCACAACATGTCACTCACTATTTGTCAGAAAACACTCAATGATTCCCTCTCTGAATGGAGTTCAAACACTCAAGTGCAGCAATTGTGATCCTCGAAACAGACTCTTATTGATCGCCCATTAGTTTTTTATGAGAACTTTCTCCAAGCCTATGCTCATTATTACCCTTCTTTTTAAGTCATACCTCTCTGCCTAAAATGCTCTTTTCTTGCTCTCCACATGTAAGTCTTCTTCTTCCTTTAAGACCCAACTACAGTCTTGTATTCATTCTTCAAAAACCTCCCTCGACAAACCCAGTCTTCTGAAATCTACAGGTCATAGTGACCCTATGACCCACTGTCCTTAGCACATGCCATGGTAGTGTATTTGTTTTTCTCTCAGTATTGAATCTTGAGGGGTCTATAGTCCATTTTATGCCTTGTGATAGTCACTAGTACTTTCTTTAGTTGTTGATGAATATAATATTACATAAAAGATCTACAAGGTTGGGCACAGTGGCTCACACTTATAATCCCAGCACTTTGGGAGGTCAAGGTGAGAGGATTGCCTGAGCCCACGGGTTGGAGACCAGCCTGGGCAACTTAGTGAGATCTTATCTCTACAATAAATCAAAAAATTAGCAGGGTATGGTGGCACATGCCTGTAGTTCCAGCTATTTGGAAGATTGATGCTGAAGGCTTGCCTGAGCCTAGCATATCAAGACTGCAGTGGCTGTGAGCGTGCCACTCCACTGCACTCCAGCCTGGATGACAGAGTGAGACTTCAACTCAAAAAAACAAAAATAAAAGAAAGATCTGCAAAACATCCACATTTCATTTAGATATAACAATTGCTAACAGGTTCTCTTACTTCTGCAGAAAGTTGACCCTAGATATTTTCATATGACTATCATCTTTGATTCATTGCTGGCTAAATGACTAGGCTTGAATATAGAAAGACATTTGAATCTTTCCACATTCACATATGTATAAAGAATTAGCAACAATGACACCAAAAGTTGTGTTGAAGGCTACTCTTATCTGACCTATTTTACACCTAGCTTTATGAAAGCTTGGTTATCTACATAACTATTTAAAGTGTGGTATCAAGATACAGTGAAATGTACATTACAATGGTTTAATCAGTGACAGAAACAGGAGTGTGTAGCTATTTGCTAGTCTATTTTTATCAGCAGTTCCCTATCAATATCCATACCTGCCAGTCAGAAGTTCATACATTAGGATTCCTAGTGACCAATAATCGGCTGAAATGTCATGGCCTTTGTTCAGGATGATCTCTGGGGCTACATACTCTGGAGTCCCACAAAAAGTCCATGTTTTCTTTCCAAATCCTATTTTCTTTGCAAAACCAAAATCAACCTAACAAAGAGAGAAAAACAAGATACATAAGCTACTTATGATTGAGTTTAAAAGCAATCAGTTATTTTACTGAAGTACACTAATGATGATGATAATAATAAAAACAGATGCCTGTTATTATAGTTATTATAGTCCTGTCTTCTAAAAGAATCATCTATATTAGCAAACAAAGTATCCCTGATCTAACTCAGTTTTAATGGGAAATGTTGAAACCTGTGTATAGGATAAAATTCATATCATTAAAAATAAAGGCACATGTTTCTTTCTGGAAATAGTTTTCATTTTTCCTCATTTTATGCCAATGGAAGTTGGGGAATAAACAAATAATTTATCCTTTACTTAAAAGTTTTAAAAAGCTAGCTGGGACTACTTAATATCTTTCTCAGAATATATATAATTTCTGCTGGATTTAATGAAGTGGACAATTCATTTAGTACTAATTCTTTGAAGTGGACAATTCATTTAGTAGTAATTCTTTGAGAAGTCATTTTATGGTTGAAGGAGGTGAGTAACACTCATGGGACCAATAACTCCAATAACTCAATTACTCTGCCCTTGGTAAACATAAATATAGATACAAATGCATTCACTTTTCTAGAAACTTTTTGAAGGAAGAGGCTCAAATGCAGAACATCTATATTTTTTCCCTAAAACAAATTGGTTGAAACTATAAATAATTAACTGTAACTTATTTTGGTCTCTCTAAAAAACATCTGCTGAATAAAAATTCCAAAAAGTTCAAAAGTGGAAGCAGGCACTTTCAGATCCAAAGGAAGTTGTGCATTTATTGATTAAAAAATTTTCCCTTCTATGGTAAATCTTTAGGGCTTTTGACCATCTATCATCATCCTCATCATCATCAACAGAATAGCCTGGACAGCACTGCCTATAAAGCCCATTTTACCATTAGCATTAGTCTTAATCTAAAATATTAAAATGATTCTTGAGTTTCTGTAATATAAACACCCATTGCCTTTGGATTGCAAACAGCTGACTAGAGAAAAGGACTTCTATAATCTCCTTTACATGATTGCCATTGCATTGGGTCTTCTAAAGCATTCAAGTCAAGCAATTCTCTGTCCTTAGGAATGGAATAGTTAAGTCTACTTTCGGAAAGAGCTGAAGAAGAGTAAAACATACTTACAAATACCTGTCACCAAGCATGTTTTCTAATGTTTATTAGAAAGTATGTTTTGCCAGAGTATTAATTCAAACTTAGCTTATTTTATTACTCATGACTGTTGCATCATTTGAAAGAATATTCAACTGAAAACTAAAATGCTAAAACCTGCTTTTAAGAAAAGTTACACCATTAAAAAGAAAAACTGAAATTCTATGTTAGCAAATAAACACAGCTTTATAAACAAATATTTAAAAATTACAGGGCACAAACCATGCGTGAAATGCACTGACCAGTTTGGCATAACCTCGGTGATCTAGGATGAGATTTTCTGGCTTGAGGTCCCTGTAAATGATTCCTTTGGAATGCAGATAGGCAAAAGCTTCTACCACACATGCTGTGTAAAATCTGGTTGTTGAATCTTCAAACGAACCTCTGAAACAGAAAATGATATAAAAAGTGTATAAAAATTAGTTTTTCTAATAAGATTTCACTTTTTCTCATCTCACTATATTTCTTTGTCCAAATTTAACTCAGAGACCAATGTCCTACTGGCTAGATGTTACATGATTGCCATTGCATTGGGTCTTCTAAAGTATTCAAGTCAAGTAATTATCTGTCCTTAGGAATGGAGTAGTTAAGTCTACTTTCTGAAAGAGCTGAAGAAAAGTTAAACATACCACATTACATATGCTTAGTGGTTTCTTCTCAACAGCCCAATATACTTTAAAAATGCATAGAGTTACAGCAGTGGGCAGGGGAGAGAACGAATCCTGTTTTAGAGCTTGTCTACCAAGAGTTTTTTTGTTTGTTTGTTTGTTTTTTTGAGTTGGAGTCTCACTCCGTCGCCCAGACTGGAGTGCAGTGGCCGCTCCCGGCCACCGCAGCCTCGACCTGCTGGGCTCTGGTGATCCTTCCGCCTCAGTCTTCCAAGTAGCCGGAATTACAGGCACATGCTACCACGCCCGGTCGATTTTTTGATTTATTGTAGAGATGAGGTCTCGCTACCCAGGTGGGTCTCGAACCTGCGAGCTCAGGCAATTCACTCACCTCAGCCTCCCAAAGGCGCGGGATTACAGGCTGAGCCACTGAGCCCGGCTAGGGTTTGTTTTTTAAAGGAGAAGTTTATGTATTTACTTATCTTTATTCTTAGAGGGTTTGTTTTTGAATGTTTATAAATAATGGAGATATGATCCATAAGGATATGAACAAAAAGTTACTGTTTTCTTTTTTCTCGTTTTTTTTTTACTGGCAGAATGACATGGATGTCACCCGGGATTTTATATTATTTTATTTTTTAATTTTTATTATAAAGATGTGGGGTCCATTTTCAGGGTTAGGTATATAAACATTGATCATGCAGGTACCCATGTTGATGAGAAATGCCCCTCCCTCCCCTAGCAGTTTCCCTCAACTGCCAATCCCACGCCTGCTCCCCTGACAGTTTCCCACTACTGCCAATAGTTTTCTTATAGTACTATAATTGTCCAAGGTCCATAAACACTGATCATGCAGGTACCCTTGTTGATGAGGTATGCCCCTCCCTCCCCTAGCGGTTTCCCTCAGCTGCCTATGCCACGCCCCCTCCCCTGACAGTTTCCCACTACAGTCAATCACTTTCTTATAGCACTATAATTGTCCAAGATCCATTTATGAGTGAGAACATATGGAACTCTGTTCTTTGTTTTTCAAAGAACCACTCTGAAAATGAGTCATAATGCTTCTGATGCAGTCATACTGCAAGCGAAGTATTCTTCTGTTTTGGAAACTTCTGCCATCAAGACACATATATCTATTTCCTACACTACTGCCTTCTTATTAATAGGAAAAGAGGAAACTAAAAGACAACTTTTTAAAAAAGATAATTAGAAGGAAATGTTTATTAGTAAACTTGATTATGATATTTAGCAAGAAAATTCTCTGTCTCTGTCTCATTTCTGTCTCTCTCTAAATGTGTGTGCATATATACATATATACACATAAACATATCAATGTATGTCTGTGTATTGATTGATTAATTGATTGAATGAAATAATAATAAAGAAAAAATATTTGACATCTAAAATTAACTCCTTGGTTCTAGGGCAGTACTTTTATACTTCACTTTTTTTCCCCATGGAATTCCTTAAAAAGATAAACTGTGTCCTTCTTTTCCAAGTAGTAAGCACAATTCAATAATTTCATAATTCAAGAATATTAGTGTGAACATCAACTCTTGAGGTGGTTGAGATGCAACATGAGTGGGAAACACGCAGGCGGTTTGAGGTTGTGTGTAACCAATTGGTAGTCCTAGATGTTGCTTTCATGAGAGTTCCTGAAACCTGTTGTTATTCTGATGACATTTACTTCTTTTCAAAATTGAGGAGTAAAGTCTAAAAAAGTGGGAAATGAGATATGGCTACACTTTTACAAAATTCATAAGTGAATCCAAGATTAAAGCAGTCACATTTCAGGTTATTTTTCAGAAACATAGGGCATCTTCCAGAAAGAAACAGTCTTCATTTTAACTACTAATACTCTCTGAGTTGTCAGGGAAATAGTCAGCGCCTCCCAGTAAAAAATATCCTTCTTCTGAAATACAATTTTAGGCATGATGACAGCTACTCCTCTAGGTACTAGAATCTTAATTTTCATTACTAAGATTCTTGAATGTCTCTTCAATAGTATCTGAATGGAATAATTGTGAATTTATGAGGACAAAAGAGTTTGAGAAGTGCATCCATATAGGAAATACATTATATACATATACTTCATGCTGTAACTTTCTTCTGACTTGGAGTTATCCTTGGCAGAGCTAAAATTCTATAATGCTGTGTATTGGGAAAGGAATCAGAGTATTGCCTTGAAGGACCCGTCTTCTTTGTTTTTAATTAAGTATCTTTGCCTATCAAGAACAGTATATTTCTTTCACCATTGAAGATTTACTTACTTTAAATAATAAGCATCTGTGTATACATAATAAACATAATAGCTTTAGCTACATGGAGTTCTATAAACAAAAGCAATCCCTCCTCAATGGACTGCATTGCCAAGCAAAGCAAAACAAAACTATACAAAATGAAACATTATATGAAATAGAGTCTTATTTTATTTCACATTCCCTGTCATGTTTTAGCCAGCAAATTGATTACTTCCTTATATCAACACTATCTAACTGTGATTTGGGTAGGTCTTTTAGAACACTTACCCATTCATGATTATGGTTAGAAGAGTATTTCTGCAGTGGTGACTCTGGGTAACATATCTCTGCTTTTATTACTATCCAGTTGTTAATAGAACCAAACAGGTAAATGCATTATTAATGTTCCAATAAGAGTGAGCATTTAGTTGAGAGTCGGATTTTTCATGAAATCGCTGATGAATGATATATCTATGTTCTGAATAAGCTGATCAATAATAGCAGGAGGATGGAAAATTCCTAATAGAAACTCACATTCTTGAGAGGAGGACATATGTTAGAATATAGACCCTGATGCGCTCGGTGGCTCAGCCTGTAATCCCGCGCCTTTGGGAGGCTGAGGTGAGTGGATTGCCTGAGCCTGTGGGTTCGAGACCCGCCTGGGCAGCGAGACCTCATCTCTACAATAAATCAAAAAATCAGCCAGGCGTGGTAGCGCATGCCTGTAATTTCGGCTACTTGGAAGGCTGAGGCAGAAGGATCACCGGAGCCCAGCAGGTTGAGGCTGCGGTGGCCAGGAGCGGCTGCTGCACTCCAGTCTGGGCGACAGCGTGAGACTCCAACTCAAAACAAAACAAAACAAAACAAAACAAAACAAAAAACCAGAATATAGACCCTGAAGCAGGAATTCCAAGCTCAACTCTGGTTTGCTTACTTTTGATCTTGAGCAACTTACTATACATCTCTGGTCTCGGTGTTCTCATGTGCAAAATGGGGCTAATAATAGTAATTATCTCCTTGGGTTATTGTGATGATTCAAAGAATTGTTGCATGTACTTAGATAAGTACCTGGTACACAACTTGTACTCGATAAGTAGTAGCCATTATAATTGAGTACCAAAAAGCTCCTGGTACACAACTTGTATTCAATAAAATCTCTTCTTTAGTCACTGTGTCTTAATCAAGGAAAGTTAACTAACATCATATAGGACAGGTCTGAAGTATTTTGCGCATAGAGGTGGGAAGTTTACAACACTAATTATTTTTTATTGAAGTGCTTCTCACTACCAAGGCAGATTGCCATGAACTGGCCCTGAAGAATCCTCTGCTAATCTCTGTTATTTTCACTTTCTCTATGCTTCCTACAGTGCAAAACTGACACTTTTATTGCCTGCCAATCAAAACTCTCCTTTTTTCACTGTGACATAAACTGACCACAGATCGTACATCTTTGAGTCTTCAGTTTTTGAGACCTCTGTTTATTTGTTGCAAGTTTTCTCTAGTTCTGAGCCATTTTGGAATTTGGAGGATTCTAGAAAGTTGGTTTCCATTTTTATCAACAGATCTATATTGAGTATATTTCATATATAAATATATTTGTAGCTGATTGTAAAAATTAAATGAAAATCTTGTCTCAAACCTTGATAAATCAATACAAGAAATGCACACAAATTGTTTACCAACCATGCACTGTTTTATCACTAAACATTTGATATACATAATGTGTGGATTTTAAAACACACATCTTGAATTCAGTTACAAAACATAACATTAGGATGACTCACAATGAAAAATTACTATTAGAATTGGAAATGACAATGTAAATTTGATCTAAAACAGAAATGAAAGCTTGTTTTTCAATAGCTTAGAGAGTTGCTTAAAGAAATAAATCACTTGCCCTATATAGCTCTTTGAAATAATAAATTATGCCTTGACAGCTGTGTCATTTCAATGAAAAGAAGTAAGAAATAGACCCTTATGCCTTCTTTGGGAGTGAATGGTTGTTTTAATTTAGATGGCAATAGATAACCATTTGGTTGAAAGAATTAGAGAATTTGTATATATGTATACATATATATTTATTGATAGATTCAAATGAACTCAAAAAAATAATCATAATGCTTGATCAACTTGTCATAAACTGAGTTTTGTAATGTCAGAACATAATAAAGGCAAAACATTGCTCATCAAAAAAAATCATTTTTTTCATTGACTAGTAACAACGATGATTAATGAGTGTATAAACCTGAAGTATGCTGCAGTCTGTGCAGGTTTATGGCCAATTTTAAATTTAAGGAGGCTAAATTTTTATCAAGATAGACTCATTTCCTTTTAAATACCTTAAATTTATGTGGTTAGTTTATCAAACATGGAATTTAAGTAATCACTCTCCATAAATTAGCCGGAATCAAGAAGACTGAACATATAAAGTCACTCACCACTCGTGGGTTTATAAGATACTCCCAGAATGGCATGACCAGAAAGTGAGATATATGAGATTTGAAAATTATGATTTCTGAAGTAATTATTTAAGATAATAAGTAAGAAAAATTAGCATACACATTAAAATGCTAATTACATAAATGAGATGTTAAATTTCATTAGCTTAGAATACACATTAAATACTAGCATCAATATATAATATATGTAAGTGCTAACATGTTACATATCATGGCCTACATTAACATAAACACTAATACATATTTATTTATCATATTAACCTCTTACATTTTAAGAGAATTGCATGAGTTGCCAATTATTTAAATGTTAGGAAGAAAAAATGAATAAAATATAATTTGTACCAACCTATTGCAAAAAATGGAACAGAATTTGTGGGAGACAAATAGTCACAAACTAGGGATAAACCATGGTAGCTAATAAAGACTAGAGCACAGGATAATAGGAACAAGGAACATTTTAGTGCTATGGTTCATGTCTCAAAGGGAAGAAAATATTTAGTCCTCAAATCCTGTTTGCATTTATAGATGCTATCATTTTAATTCTTACTTCTTGACATCAAATGAAGAGCTGCCTCATGTTTCTTTTTCTATGCTGATGAGAAGAAAGAGAGGGAGAGGCAGGAAATGGTCACTTCAGCTATGAGGTAAGAAAAGGAGGATGTCTGCATTACTATCAGAGACTTCCTGTGCTAATTCTCTGAGGCTCAGAAGTATTTCCATGTCAGTCATGAATAAGGTCACCCAAGTCTTTCTTCACATCAGCCTAAATAATTTTCTGCATGCTCTCAGAAAAGTTTCTCCATTATAGCTTCTGTCCTCAGACACAGGAGGAAAATATATTGACGGTGTGGTTTTCTAGACTATAGATTTTTCATCTACAACCATGACTAATAGCATTAATGGCATAATTTTCTCTCAGCATTTTTTCATTTTTCTAACAATTAATCTTTAAGATGTCCAGCTCCAATTTAAACAAACAGAAAGCTAGTCAGCAGCAATATTAATTGGCGACGGAATGACTAAAATTATGGTTCTCTTCCAGAAACTTCCTGAATAGGAAAAAGAAAAGTCACTAAAATAAAACAATATTGAGTCTTCCAATCCTCAAGCATGGAATATTTTTCATTTGTTTGTGTCTTCTTTGATTTCTTTGAGCAGTATTTTTGTTGGTTAGGAAGATACCAAGGTATTTGTGTGTGTGTGTGTATGGCTACACACTTACAGAAATTGGTATAGGCAATCAATTCGATGAAAACCGCAATAGCCCATGCCATAAGAGACAAGAATGACAAATGGGACTTCATTAAACTGAAAAGCTTCTGCCAAACAAAATAAACCATTAAGAAAGTGGGAAGACAGCCCACAGAATGGGAAAAAATATTTGTCAACTGTATACCCAACAAAGGTCTAACATCTGATTTACAAGGAACTCAAAGGTGCCAAAGGAAGAAAGCAAATAGCCCTATTAAGAAGTGGGCCAAAGATATGAACAGACACTTCTCAAAAGAAGACAAACAAGCAGCCAACAGATACATTTAAAAATGCACAGCCTCACTAATCATCAGAGAAAGTCAAATCAAAACTACATTGAGATACCACCTAACTCCAGTCAGGATGGCCACCATTGATAACTCAAAAAACAACAGATACAGGAGAGGATGTGGAGAAAAGAGAATGCTTCTACACTATTGGTGGGAGTGTAAACTAGTACAACCTCTGTGGAAAACAGTGTGGTGATTTCTAAAAGATCTAAAAATTGACCTTCCATATGACCTTGCAATCCCCCTTCTGCTAATATACCTGGAGAAACTCAAATCATTCTACAAAAATGGGACTTGCACACACATGTTTTTTGCAGCACTATTCACAATAGCAAAAACATGGAACCACTTAAAGTGGACTGGATTTTTAAAAATGTGATACATGCACTTGATGGAATATCATGCAGCCATAAAGAAGGACAAAATTATGAACTTCACAGCAACTTGTATAGATTTAGAGTCTATCATACTCAGTGATCTATCAAAAAAAACAAAGAACTGGGTGCCACATGTTCTCTCATAAGTGGACCCTGAACATTCATCATAATACTACATGAAAGACACTGGCACTAGCAGATAACTACAGGAGGAGGAGGTTGCATAACACTAACAAGGGTACCTGATCCCCAAATAGGCAATGTGAGGACCAATGGAAGGCCCAAATTTCACATGCACGATGACCACTGATGTACCTAACCATGAACTGTACCCCATATCTTTAAACTTTTAAAAATTAAAAAGAATAAAAACAATAAGACTACATGCATACTTAAGAAAGTAAGTTGTAAGAGGTAACAAATCTAAGGTGATTTTACATGAATTAGTTAATTCGGCACCTCTGAAACTTTAGGAAGAATCTGATAGCCACTATTTCTCCAGATCATGCCTCTTCACAGAGTATATTGTGGGAACTCAGTATCCAAACCCAAGTATGATAAAAGGGAGGGAAAATGTAAGGACCAAAAAGCTAGCAATAGCATCCATTGTTATTTTCCTTTCATCCCAAGGTAAGCTTCTCCAAAAGTGAGCTGATTCTTAATAGCAAGCCTTTGCTACCCTGACAAATCAAAACACATCTCACTCAGAAGCCTTGGCTGGCATTTATTAACAAACAAAATTTGAAATCAAGTTGAATAAGATAAATTATGAAATGATATTTACTTTTAAAAAATGGAAAACTGGCCGGGATTGGTGACTCAGCCTGTAATCCCAGCACTTTGGGAGGCCGAGGCGGGTGGATTGCCTGATCCCGTGTGTTTGAGACCCACCCAGACAACTTGGTGAGACCTTGTCTCTACAATAAATCAAAAATTAACTGAGTGTGGTAGCACACCCCTGTAGTTTCAGCTACTTGGAAGGCTGAGACGAAAGGATCACCTGAGCCCGGCAGATTGAGGTTGCAGTGGCCGGGAGTGTGCCACTGCACTCCAGTCTGGGTGACAGAGTGACTCCAACTCAAAAAAAAAAGGAAAACTGATGCCCGATGCCTGTGCGTGTTTGACACCTCATGAGTGGACTTTAGGCCGAGTTTTATCATTCTTATTGTTTTTGTTCCAGTTAAGGGAGTTTACAGAAGGTTTAAAAAGTTATGAGAGTATATAGCTGGCTGTCTCCTTGTGTCACTTATTATTGCTTTCATGACTAATTCCACCTTTAAAGCTTCTCCTATTCTAATTAGGAGAGAGTGGGGAAAGATTTCAAATAAATTAGTGGATTGAAATTTTAGGTAAAAAAAAAACACAGTAGAAACACAGGATATGCCAAAATATTAACTTTGTTCTGCAGCCTGTTAGTTCTGAGGCGTAGGACATATGTTTTGTTTATCACTGAATCCCCAGCCTCCATTACAATGCCTGGCATTTAATCCCTACTCAAATATCAGCAAACAATATCATGATAATATGCTATGATATAATAACTTAGTACAGATGCCAACCTTGTGCCCTAATATCAACTTGAGGCATTCACTTGTATGCTTTTAAACCTTAGATTTAAGAAATGAAACAAAACACAAATGTAATAGGATGTAATATGGTGAAAATAAATCCACTTGACAAATGTAAGGCCATAGGAATGAAAGACCCAAAAAGGTATGTTGTACAGAGATATGAAGGTACTATAAGAATACCACTAGGAATGAGGATTTAAGTCAATAGTTATATAAAGCCTCTTGTTCTAATCTGGAATATCTACAAAATAACAACCGTCAACAAATTACATGGCTTTCTAGCAACATCATGGCTATCTATAGCTAAATTCCCAAAAAGGTGTTACTAAATGAAGGAGAGTCTGAGGGGCAGGACTAAAACAAATAAGATAAACAGAGACGTTTAAAGGTAAATGTTCAAAGGAACAAAGATAACTTTTGAATGATAACTAGATCATTCTTAGGAAATAATCAAAAGATCATTCATAGGAAAGTAAAATTGTGTGTGTGTGTGTGTGTGTGTGTGTGTGTGTGTATGTGTTTTAAGAAAGTAAGCACTTAGGGTAAGTAATGATCTCCTGAGACATTTTATAGAACAAATGAAATAAGATAATTTTCTAGTTACCAAAGTATGAGAAGAAAAATTATGACACAGTTAATTTGCACAATTGAAAGAAACAAGCAGCATCTAGACAAAGTTTACTTGTCGTTCCAGGGTAAAAAGGTAAATCTAAATCAGATTGTTTACTTGAAATATTACTTATAAGTAGATTCATTTCTTTTCCTAAGACTAGCCAAGGGCCAAAAGAGATGGCTGGAAACTTTTTAAAATATTGAAACCAAAGAGCAATGTAAAGGCAGAGGGAAAAGTTACTTTGGAAAACGTTATCAGTGTCAGAAAAGGCAGATTGCCCACCTGGAAAAAGAATGGATTAATTAAACTGATAGTTAAAATAATTCAGATTGCAATCATAAAATCACTATGCTTCTCTTCATGTTAAAGCAATGAATTATATTCCTAGAACAGAGTTATCTAATTCCAACATTCTTGCTTAACTAAAGCCATGTACATACTTTGCTAGGTACTATTTTTATAGTGGACTAAGCCCATATCTTTAGTTGCAAAGTGAGTTTTATAATGTGTAGCAAATCATATGTGTATAGTGCCTTATGATTACTTTACATAATGATATATAAGCATATACAAGTATAAATATGGTTGTTAAAGTTTATTAACTCTTCTTATAGACCACACAGACAACTATGTTTTCAGAGACACGTTAGAAGTTTCTTAAATCTCCTACCTATCCCTGAGAATGGTCCAGAGCTCTCCACCTAGGCAAGCTTCCATCAACATATACAAATATTTGCTGTCCTTAAATGTTCTGTATAATCTGTAAATTGCAAACAAGAAAATAACGGTTATATACATTATTGTCTTTTAAAAGCATATAAATTTTTGAGGGCCCAGATTACATTTTTGAGGTGTCAAGTTTGAAAATTTATCAGAAGAATGAGAAAGGTCTCGGCCCATAACCAGAGGAAAGAAGTCAGTGGCTCATGAATAGGGTTTTATTAGGAGAGAGACGGAGTTTAGTTTCTCTCTTGAAATGGATTAATCCTAATGATTATGGATAAAGGGTTTCTTAGGGTTCTTTCATTTCCAATTTGTCTGGTGTTTTGAGCATGGACTGTTGAGCAGTATTTGGTGGTTGCAAACATTCAGTTTACATGAATATAAAGTAGATTAAATGTTACAAATATAAGCATGTATGAAATTCATGTACTATTCACTTAAATTCATGTGACACTCTGTTTTCAGCAAGTTCCCATCACTGGCAAATTAATTACAAAAGCGTCTTCTGCATATAAAAAGCTCCCATTATCCTCTTAACAGTACTGAGGTGGCCAACTGCCATTCCACTTTTTTAGATATTCAAAAAATATTCAAATAATTGAAGATTAAGTAGTTTGATTTTTTTTTTTTTTTTTTTTGAGATAGACTCTCACTCCGTAACCCAGGTTGAAGTGCAGTGGCATGCCCACAACCACCACAGCCTCTACCCGCTGGGCTCAGGCAATCCTTCTGCTCAGCCTTCCAAGTAGCCAGAACTACAGGCAATTTGCCAATTTGCCCGAGCTGGTCTTGAACCCATAGGCTTAGGCAATCTGCTCGCCTCAGCCTCTCAAACTGCGGGGATTACAGACTGAGCCACTGAGTCCTGCCGCTATAGTTTGATTTTTTAATAATGTGTCTTTTAAGCACCAGAGGTGCCATGTAGAGTTTGGGGTTAAAAAAAAGACGATAAAAATGGAATGTTATAAATTCAGATACCTCCTTTGGGGAAAGGATTGTTTTCAGACACTGATTTTTTTTTCCTCTCTCTCTCTCTTAAAGAAAGAATCAAAACTTTATTTTTTAAATCAAACAACCTTCTGAAGATCGGATTAAAAAATATGTTTGTGAGAATAAAATGTGGTAACAGTGAGCTGAAGTGGCAGAGGGTTTGTGGTTGATTTGCCACTTACAGTTGGATATTTCAGTCCCTGAGGCAGGGCCTTTACCTCACTATGAAGTCGGAATGAGCCCCCTGCATGATCTGCTTCTCTGAGCGGATGTGCTCTTGCTGTCTTGTATCCACGATGTGGCGTTTCTTAAGAATCTTCATTGCAAACGTTTTGGATTCTTCACTTTTCAACTGGACCTTAAAGAAAAGGAACAGGGAGTAAATGAGAAAAAACCTATAGACTTATTATAACAGAGGACACTGTTATTCCCAAATCAATAGGTGCAAGGGGCCCAACCCACCACCCAAATCACACACATAGTAAATCCTTGAGAGTTCTGGCTTTAAAATCCAGGGCTCAAACCCAGTTTCGTTCTACTAGGTTGGCTGAATTTTAACTAACTTGATTCCAAATCGATTATGTTTCTATTTAGATTAGAAGGAAAATGTAGTTAATTCTAGCTTTATTATTTCATTTCATATAATGTGTTTGAGTATATTTTATAGCTTTCCTCCTTCAGTAAAAAAAGCAGAAATAAAAACTATTTTTTCCCAATTTTAAGTGAAAATGGCAAAAAAAAAAAGATCAGATGGACCCTCATGTTTTTCCTCCTTAGTCCTAATCCACAAACATTTCTAGAGTTTTTAAATTCAGGGGCAAGGCCCTTATCTTTGCTGAAACTGTAGGCTTTCATTTATTTAGTATTATCTATAGTTTTATTTATTCTCTTTTTACCTCTTAATCTTTTTTCCTCCCTACAGCATTAAAAAAAACAACGTTTTTATTTTTTATTTTTTATTTTTTTGAGTTGGAGTCTCACTCTGTCGCCCAGACTGGAGTGCAGTGGCTGCTCCTGGACACCGCAGCCTCGACCTGCTGGGCTCCGGCGATCCTTCTGCCTCAGCCTTCGGAGCAGCCGGAATTACAGGCACGTGCTACCATGCCTGGCCAATTTTTTGATTTATTGTAGAGATGAGGTCTCACCTGCCCAGGCGGGTCTCGAACCCGTGGGCACAGTCAATCCACTCACCTCAGCCTCCCAAAGGCGCGGGATGACAGGCTGAGCCACCGAGCCTGGCAACAACAAGATTTTTAAAGGAGATTTTGAGAACTACTGTTTTTCTTTTTAAACATATATGAAAGCCAAACATCCCTTTGCCCTCAGACCTTCATCCTCAGTAACTGGATAGATCTGAGCTTTAGTGTCTTCAATGTGTCATGCCTCTGTGACAGCCCACATGGTACCCAGTGGCTCTGGAGGAGGTTTGGGAACACCAAATGCCATACCTCAGACAGGCTGCTGGTCTGTGTTCACTGTTCTATAAGACATTTTAACAAGATGACTTGTAAGAAGATAGAGAGAAAGAGAGAAGGAACAGAGCTAATCACTAAATTATCATCTACTGCTCTCAAGTAGCAGAATCTTCCAGACAGTACCAAACATCCCACACTATTCAGAACTAATGACACCTTGGTGAAATAATATGCCACACTGCTTCTGCTTTTCAGATGAAGTACAACTGTCCCCTCTCTAGCTGTGAATTATTTATTGCTTCATCAGCAGGGATAATGATGTTCTTAAGTGTCTTGCTCATGCACACATGTATGGATTGAGTTCAATCTGAGAGGACATTAATGTGGCAAGTTCCTTAGAAGGAAGCATGAGGATGTGTCAAATAAATGGGCCTTCGTTTGCTGCTGGCATTTGTGAATCTATATGATGGGTTAGAGGGAAAAAATGGATATTTCAAAATGTCTTTCACAGCAAAGGCCCTCTACTCTGTCTGTGAAACTCTTAAAGATGACAGATTAGTGTGATACAAATACATTGTATGTAGTTATCTTTCAAAATAAAACAAATTGCAACAACTCACTTAAAAAAATCTGGACAGATAGAAAACAGGAATATCAATGTCAGAGTACTAAAACTCAGAAGACAGAATAAAGTCATATTCCTTCTCCACAGTCTTGCCCAGTTAAGCTACTGAGGACTCTTGTGTAGTTCAAATGCCTAATGTAAAAATTATTATCTTTAGCGAAATCACAGATGTTTCACTTCTGCACACAGTAGGAAGAAATAATTCTCCCTTTGTGATCACAGGTTTAGATTTGAATTCTGACGCCACTTAGTTTCTCTGGTCTGAGCCAGTTGCTTAACTGCTCAGAGCCCTAGTTCTTGCTGAGGACAATACCAGCTACCTCACAGAGTTATTGTGATCCAAAATAAGAATGTGCCACAAAATGGGTATTAGATAATGGTCTTTCTGCTTGGACCCTAGCTCTACCTAGCAAGCTGTACCAAATAGGGCAACACAAATGTTGCTTTTTAAAATATTGCTTTTTCAGAGGCGCAAACTGAGATTTACCAGAAAGGTTCATATCTGCCCAAGGCCACAGAGTTATCAAGTGACAGAACTGGGTTCATTTTCAGATCTTTTTGGCCCAGGCTATTTCCAGGATATGCTGCTTCCCTCCAGCTGAATACAAAATAAATTAAAGACACAATGAGTAAGACTTTGCAAATCATAGTTTAATGGAATTGGCTAACTCACAAACTCTCTGAGAGAAAAGTTGAATGATTATATATTACCTTTAAGTTTCACTTATGCTAGGCATGTGGTTTGGGTAATCAGCGGAAGCCTCAGTGTCATTTTCCTAGGCACTTACGGGGATCTCAGTGTGTTATCAGTGACTTGGGGCACCTGACTGCTTGAATTCTGCCAGAAGCCATATAGTGTGGGAAGAGAGTGATGAGAACTGCCAGGGGGCAGATGGCATGAGAAATGGGTAAAAGCTATGGAGATTGTTGGGAGTCAACAATCTCTGTACTGGTTTCTATCCTGACCCCAACCCAACTCAGTGCTAGTAAGTCAATAGGTAAAGATCTGTGAAGCTATTTCTAAAAGATTGTGGATGCCTCTACCACACTGGTTTTACTCTCAAAATTCTTAGAAAGAGAATACGAACAAGAAAATACTATCCTTGAAGATCTTCATTTTATTTTATACAAATAATGTTATATGCTATGTCAGAAATTATAATTGGTAAATGCTTCATTTAAATTATATTATATTGGCATTTAAATGAAGGTATACTTGAGCAAAATGTATCTCAAGGTGGGAATTTCTGACAAGGATTTTGACAAGTTCTTAACTATATTAATTACAAAAAGTTTACAGGACCATGTGGCAAACTACAGTGGCATTCTACTTTGTCTTTACTTTGCTTGACAGCAGTCCTAGGGTCTTGAACCACATTCCTTGGTAAAAAACAAAAACAAAAACAACCCTCTAGAGCAGCACCTTAACAGGAAGTCAGAGCACCTGAAGACCACTGGTGTAAGTTAACTCAACAAAGATAATTGGAAATGTTGAAATTAATTCTCTGAATAATGCCCAACTAACATGTTCATCAAAAATCTCCTGATAAACTACTTCTCAAAGATCATTCAATAACATTTAACTTAATACTGTTTCTAATTTTAAAAATGGGGAATAATCTATCAAGAAGAGTTTGGAAAAATAAATTTGGAAAAAAATGGGAAATAATCTATCAAGAAGAGTTTGGAAAATAAATTTGGAAACAATAAATTTGGAAAGAAATGGGTAATAATCTGTCAAGAAGAGTTTGGCAAAATAAATTTGGAAAAAAATAAATTTGGAAAAAAAAGGGAATAATCTATCAAGAAGAGTTTGGAAAAATAAATTATGGCACATCCCTACAGTGCAGCTGTAAAAATGATGACTTAGAATTCGATTTAACTATAGAAAAATAACCAAAACATATAAATGAGTAAAAGATAACAGTTACAGCCAGTATATATTTTATGAGCCCAATCTACAGTATTTTTATATGTGAGTTTATATCTACCTATATCTGTATCTAAAATAAATTTATAAATAAATAATCAGAAATGTGTTCATTGATAGCTTAACAGTGAGTCATTTTTACTTAGGAAGAATTTTTTAGTTGATTTTTATTTCTTTTTACTTTTTGAATTGTTTAACTTTTATACAATTGTCATATCTCCGTTTTGCAATGAGTAAAAATAAAACTCTAGTACTGGAAAAAATTTTTAAATGTCTTTTAAATTCAAATAACTGTTTATTATTATTGTCTGACTTTCTGAAACTGATTCCAGTTATACTAGAATATCAAGAATGCAGAAACTTTGAGAAGTTATATACAGCATAACAACTTATTCATGTTTGGGCTGAACCAAACTATTCATCTCCTTAAAAAAACTTGCCACAATTGTTTTTTCAGTATACATTTTCAGAGTTAGTTAGAGCAATTTAGTTAGCCTAAACTACTATGTTTTATTATAAAAGTATTTTAGCAAAATGAATCCATGGAAAATTTTAAGACGAAATTTAGTTTGCTATTTTTTTTTTCTTTTTGGTCAAATTAACTATACTGAGTCCACTTGTACCAATTTTAAATGAAGAGTTTTTAAATTATTATTTTAAAGCAGGTCAGCTAGAACTATGAAATTCGTTTTGAAAACGGAAGGTTGGCAAAAGAGAAGAAAAGGAATGCTATTTTTCTTTTTACTCTTGCCCAGGAATCCTTCCCCGCCTAGCTGGTTAGTTAGACTTACTCCTCAGGTTTATCTTCCTTTACAGACTATCCTGACCTCCTGTACAAGCTAATACACTGACTGAAAGTATGACTAGTCTGATATTTGACTACTTTTGTTTTGTTTTTCATTTTTTTGCTTACAATCTTGGACAAATTACTCTCTCTGCTCTCATTTCCTCATTATCATGGAGATAATCCTCATAGGATCCCTGTGAATATGAAATAAAAAGGCATCTATATCCAATAAAGCATCTAGAATAGAGTAAACCTTCAGTAAATATTAGCTGATTTTATTCTGATGTGCTTCTTAGTTCAATGGTCTCTTCAGAACAAAGCATTGTCATCAAATATGAGCAGCTACAGGCTGAATATCACAAGGGGCCAATTTCTATCCTTTTCCAACCCACCTTAACGCTAATAAGTGAATAAGTAAAAATCCGAGAAGCTACTTCTGAAAGACTGTGAATGCTTCTACTACACTGGTTTGACTCTAACATTTTTTAGAAAGGAAAAATGAGCAAGAAAATGCTAATATTCAAGATGTTCATTTTACTTTATACAAATAATTGTGTGAGCTACATCAGAAATTAGAATTGGTAAGTGTTTGATTTACAGT